GATCCTGAGAGGAGAACAGAGGAGAAGGGATTGCGACATGGCCATCCCCCCTGGGGGGTGATTTCTCACTTTCTGTCTCTCTGTCTCTCTCTGTCTGTCTGGCAAGCGCACGCACCCTGTAGCGAAAACCTCTCCAAAAAAAAAAAAGGATTATTTATTTAATTTTATTTGTTATTATTATTCTTCGATTTGACTAGAGACACACAGATTGAGAGAGAGTTCGAAAGGAAGCTGCCAGGTGCAGGACTCGAACCATGGTCAACCATGTGGGAATCCAGTGCCCCAAACTATGCCACCTGCCAGCCCCAGGGGGCCTCCATTTTAAGAGCTTCCTGTCTAAAGTGGATGGCGATGACGATCCTGCATAATGGAAGAATCCTGAAACACCATTAAGACAGAAGAATTAACTGAGCATTGGCAATACCCACCAGAGGAAGGCAAGTGGCTCTGCGTGTGACAAAAGAGCGGGGTACACTGGGAGTGCTGGGGGTTGGTGGTCCTGGGCACTTGGATCCCATGAGACAGCCCACAGCAGAAGGCAGAAGCTGGAGTGCAGGGCCTGAGAGTGGGAAAGACAGCTAGGGAGGGGGGGCCCAGAGAAAGCTAAGGGGAGGAGGAGGGATCTCGGGGCACTCCCCAGTGTGACACATAACCCTGGAAGCACTCTGGAGCGGTTAGTTACAACCATAATAGATTCCACCTGCTAAGAGTTTTACCACTTCTGTCCTGGGAGGCAGAGGCGCCATTATTCCCCTCCTATTACTGTGGGAAACAGACACAGGAGGTCAGGCAATGTCCAGGGTCATCAGCTAAGAGCGGCCATCTGAGCTTGGGCTCCCCAGCAGCAGACCCTAAGACCAAGATTCAAGTGAAGCCACTTTACTTGAAGGGTGATTCCAGGAAGCACCCGGAGGGGAGTGGGGAAATGAGGCAGGAAGGGACCGAAGCACTAAGACTACATTATTACATCCCCACTGTGCACAAACAGAGCTCATCCCACTGGATTCCGGGAGGCGAAGAGCGCATGCTCTTTGTACAGTTACTTTACCTGAGGGGCCGGGGGCTGGGATATCTATCCACCAGTTCCTAAGAGCCACAAGTGGGGACGGGTGGAAGGAATTCCCTGGCTCTTCCAGCCTCCCTGTGGAAGGGCATGACAGCTCTGAGAGCTCTGGCAATCTCTGTGCTGGCCATGCGGCAGGTGCACTCGGGAATGCCAAGGCCCACGGACCTGCTGCACGCGCGTCACAGACAGAGCTGGGACTCGAACCCTGGCAGTCAAGTGTCAGAGCCCATGTTCTCAGTCTGAATAAATACTGTATTTATTTTAAATAAATGTCCATTTAATGAAAAATGTTAGCTTTAAAATATTTAATAAAATAAATATTAACTAAATAGTCAATGGAAATGTTAGTTTAAAAATATTAAGTAGATGGGACCAGCAGATGGCATAATGGCTATATTGCCGGACTCCCATGTAGTTGACTGCAGTTCGAGTCCTGGACCCAGTGGCTTAAACTCATGCCAGGTGCGTGTGCGTGCGTGCCCAAGATCCCAAGAGGAGAATGGAGGAGAAGGGATTGCAGCGTGGCCATCCCCCCGGGGGTCTGATTTCTTGCTTTCTGTCTCTCTGTCTCTTTTCTGTCTTTCTTGTGAGCACACACGCTTATAGCAAAAACCTCTCCAAAAAATTAATTAATTAATTAAAATATTAAATAGATAAAACAGAGAGGGTACATGGAGGTGGCAGTTGTGAGTGGGCATGTAAGTGACAGACAATTGGGAATTCACGAACGAGGAATGCAGTGGCAGAATTTTGAATCCAAAGACCTTGACCTGGTTTTGTCCCAGCCATGGACACACAACTGGGCAAGAGCCTCAACTTGGGCAGTCTGTTTCCCAATCTGTAAAGGGGGATAACAATGGAACCAGCAGTTGGCGTAATGGTTATGTCACATGGACTCCCATGTAGTCAACCACGGTTCGAGTCCCAGACCTGGTGGCTTGCTTTCTCACTTTCTCTGTCTCATTCTCACTCTCACTCTGTCCCTCTCAGGTTATATTAACATGAATAAATAAATAAAGTTAAAATGATTCTTAAAAAAATATCATTTTACAGAGAGATTAAGCAGTTTACCCAATTGTCCAGTAGTGATGGGCTCTGGAACCAGATTGTGCTTACGGAACCCACAGCGTGCTGTAATGCCTGGAGCAGCTGCAGCCATCTTGCAATGATGAAAGAAGCAGCTGACATCTGAGAATAAACAGAAAGAATTCCCCTCCTTGATAATGCTATTAAGCTGCTGAATTAACCAATCCTGAACTCCCTACCTCTGACTTTTTATGAGTGAAATAACATATTTTCTGTATTGTTCAAGTTACTTTCACTCCTGTCTCTACTATTATTCCCATAATGGGGTACTCCTCAACAGCGAACAAGCAAAGAGCTCTATGAAACATTTCTGAAAGAATTGTTTTCATTCTTACACAAACTCTTCCAAAGAATATATAAAGGAAGTCCAATTCTCTACTCACGTGTAATAACACTGATTCCAAAACCCAACAAGAACAGTATATAAAAAGATCATTAAACTTATGAACATGGATGCAAAATTTTAAGCAAGTTAATAGCAAACTAATCCTAGAAATATATATTGTGATTGAGCTGCCTTAGGCCAAAGTGCATGGTTAAGTTTATTATTTTGAAAAAAGTCAATGTAATTCATCACACCAACAGATTAAAGGAAGACAACTGTGTGATATCATCAACAGATGCCAAAAAAGCATTTGAAGTAAGTCCACATCTATTATAATAGGGGGGAAAAAACTCTTGGCAAAGCAGGGATAGACAGGAATTGTCTTTAGTCTTTTCTTCTTTTTAATTTGCCACGGGGCATAGTTCTCCCTAAAAGAGACAGAAAAGGAGAGAGAGAAAGTGAGAAATCACCCCCCAAGGGAGATGACCACACAGCAGTCCCTTCTCCTCCACTCTCCTCTTAAGGTTTTACACATGCACGCACACATGCCTGGGTGTTTTACAAGCCGTGCAGTTGGCCATGTGCAGTTGGCCGCCTTAACCACCACACCACCTTGCTGGCCCTCCTTAGTCTAATATAGGGCCTCTCCCAACACTCTTCTTTACTGGGTGATGATTCCTGGGAAGTAAATCACACGAAGCAGCAAACACACCAGGCAAACAGGCAGAAATTCAAGGGCCTGAGCAAAGGCTGGAGGAGACCTGGAAGGGCTGGTTCCTCTCCCACCACCCACCTGGACAGTCCTCCCGAACTCCGCGAGGCTGCCTGTTCCCAGTACTCTACGGGTAGGCATCATTGTTTTTTATGAATAGCGCCATCTTTCTCCTCCAGAGTCTTCAGATTTTAAGCCCTGGTGTCCTGCTCCACCCAGGTACCGGGTGCAACAAAACACCACTCGCAGACTCTCCCCTAAATCCCGCCTTCCTATTCCTCCCGTCGACTCTCAGCAGAGTTCTCAAAATTTGCCACTAAAGTAAACCTTTAACAGTGAAGAAAAGTGACTGGATCTCTCTAAGGAATTTGATTGTGTAATCTAAGTTGGCTCTGCAAACTTGCAAGTTATCTGAGGTGTACCTATTTTGCCTTAGAAATTCATACACATTTTGGGGTCAGTAGGTGACAGGGTAGTTAAGGGCACTGGACTTCGACATGGCCAACTATGGTTTGTGTCCCAGACCTGGCAGCATGCTTTCTCACTTTCTCTCTCTCTCTCGCTCTGGTCAAATTAAATTAAATAAAGTTAAATAAAATAATTCCTTAAAATAAAAAAAAAAGAAACAAATTCATACACATTTTGTATTCTGTCCCATGATAGAACACTGATTGTTGTAATTCTTTCTTTCTTTCTTTCTTTCTTTCTTTCTTTCTTTCTTTCTTTCTTTCTTTCTTCTTTCTTTCTTTCTCTTTCTTCTTTCTCTTTCTTTCTTTCTCTTTCTTTTACTTTCCTCTTTTTTGGAGAGGTTTTTGCTATAGGACGTGTGCTCTTGCCAGAAAGACAGAGACAGAGAGATAGAAAGCCAGAAATCACCCCCCAGGGGGGATGGGCATGCTGCAGTTCCTTCTCCTCCATTCTCCTCTCAGGATCTTGGGCATGCACGCACACGTGCCTGGCATGAGTTTAAACCTCCGGGTCCAGGACTTGAACCGCAGTCGGCTACATGAGAGTTCAGTGACATAGCTATTACGCTAACTGCTGGTCCCAATTTCCCTTTCTCTCTCTCTCACCCTATCCCCCTCTGGTCAAAATAAAATAAATAAATAAATAAATAAAATTAAATAATTCTTAAAAAAAATAAAACCTGGTTTTGTCCCAGCCATGGACACACAACTGGGCAAGAGCCTCAACTTGGGCAGTCTGTTTCCCAATCTGTAAAGGGGGATAACAATGGAACCAGCAGTTGGCGTAATGGTTATGTCACATGGACTCCCATGTAGTCAACCACGGTTCGAGTCCCAGACCTGGTGGCTTGCTTTCTCACTTTCTCTGTCTCATTCTCACTCTCACTCTGTCCCTCTCAGGTTATATTAACATGAATAAATAAATAAAGTTAAAATGATTCTTAAAAAAATATCATTTTACAGAGAGATTAAGCAGTTTACCCAATTGTCCAGTAGTGATGGGCTCTGGAACCAGATTGTGCTTACGGAACCCACAGCGTGCTGTAATGCCTGGAGCAGCTGCAGCCATCTTGCAATGATGAAAGAAGCAGCTGACATCTGAGAATAAACAGAAAGAATTCCCCTCCTTGATAATGCTATTAAGCTGCTGAATTAACCAATCCTGAACTCCCTACCTCTGACTTTTTATGAGTGAAATAACATATTTTCTGTATTGTTCAAGTTACTTTCACTCCTGTCTCTACTATTATTCCCATAATGGGGTACTCCTCAACAGCGAACAAGCAAAGAGCTCTATGAAACATTTCTGAAAGAATTGTTTTCATTCTTACACAAACTCTTCCAAAGAATATATAAAGGAAGTCCAATTCTCTACTCACGTGTAATAACACTGATTCCAAAACCCAACAAGAACAGTATATAAAAAGATCATTAAACTTATGAACATGGATGCAAAATTTTAAGCAAGTTAATAGCAAACTAATCCTAGAAATATATATTGTGATTGAGCTGCCTTAGGCCAAAGTGCATGGTTAAGTTTATTATTTTGAAAAAAGTCAATGTAATTCATCACACCAACAGATTAAAGGAAGACAACTGTGTGATATCATCAACAGATGCCAAAAAAGCATTTGAAGTAAGTCCACATCTATTATAATAGGGGGGAAAAAACTCTTGGCAAAGCAGGGATAGACAGGAATTGTCTTTAGTCTTTTCTTCTTTTTAATTTGCCACGGGGCATAGTTCTCCCTAAAAGAGACAGAAAAGGAGAGAGAGAAAGTGAGAAATCACCCCCCAAGGGAGATGACCACACAGCAGTCCCTTCTCCTCCACTCTCCTCTTAAGGTTTTACACATGCACGCACACATGCCTGGGTGTTTTACAAGCCGTGCAGTTGGCCATGTGCAGTTGGCCGCCTTAACCACCACACCACCTTGCTGGCCCTCCTTAGTCTAATATAGGGCCTCTCCCAACACTCTTCTTTACTGGGTGATGATTCCTGGGAAGTAAATCACACGAAGCAGCAAACACACCAGGCAAACAGGCAGAAATTCAAGGGCCTGAGCAAAGGCTGGAGGAGACCTGGAAGGGCTGGTTCCTCTCCCACCACCCACCTGGACAGTCCTCCCGAACTCCGCGAGGCTGCCTGTTCCCAGTACTCTACGGGTAGGCATCATTGTTTTTTATGAATAGCGCCATCTTTCTCCTCCAGAGTCTTCAGATTTTAAGCCCTGGTGTCCTGCTCCACCCAGGTACCGGGTGCAACAAAACACCACTCGCAGACTCTCCCCTAAATCCCGCCTTCCTATTCCTCCCGTCGACTCTCAGCAGAGTTCTCAAAATTTGCCACTAAAGTAAACCTTTAACAGTGAAGAAAAGTGACTGGATCTCTCTAAGGAATTTGATTGTGTAATCTAAGTTGGCTCTGCAAACTTGCAAGTTATCTGAGGTGTACCTATTTTGCCTTAGAAATTCATACACATTTTGGGGTCAGTAGGTGACAGGGTAGTTAAGGGCACTGGACTTCGACATGGCCAACTATGGTTTGTGTCCCAGACCTGGCAGCATGCTTTCTCACTTTCTCTCTCTCTCTCGCTCTGGTCAAATTAAATTAAATAAAGTTAAATAAAATAATTCCTTAAAATAAAAAAAAAAGAAACAAATTCATACACATTTTGTATTCTGTCCCATGATAGAACACTGATTGTTGTAATATAGGAATAATAGTTTCTGAGGCCGGCAGATGGCTTAGTGTTTAAGGCGCTGGACACCCACATGGCTGATTGCAGTTTGAGTCCCAGACCTGGCAGCTTGCTTTCTCAATTTTCCTCTCTCTCTCTTTCACTCTCACTCTGTCCCTCTCTGGTCAAGTTGAACTAAATGAATAAATAA